AAACTCACTCTCACTGTCTTGCAAGATGAACTTCTTAAGCCTCATTCGAGAGCAGGCTTGGATAAAATTTTGAGGTGTATTCAAGTGGTTTTCAGACATTCTCAGGAGAGTACAAAACTCTAATCTCCTTCAAAGTCAGATCCTCTGACATCAATGCATTTGTTGCACTCCAGCCATTTCGTGACGAGACCCACCCCTACCCTATGGGAGTCACCTAAACTGAAGATGTCCAGTACCCTTGTCACAGCCTCTTTTATCTTTTCCATGTCTTCAAAACGACTGCTCCTGAGGTTTTCCTTCAGCTTGAGGGAACAACCAAAAGTCACAAGTGTTTCGTTCGATTTCATCACTGGACCCCAACACTGTTGCATATATGGTATCGATGATTTCTTACTTGTTTTATTTGAGGCAGAGACAGACATGGCAGCATGGATTCCACAAGGCAGCAGGAGGAAGAACTTCAAGGGACTGCATGTTGCTCATTGACTTAGCATCTCTTGACACTTTGAAATTTCTGTGGCCCTTTGTTTAACACTGTTTCGGGCTTATATCCAAAACCCAGACAAAGGCAATCCATCATTGTCACAATACCACATCCATGAGGTATGTGGATAAATCATGGACCTTCCCTGCCCAGCCTTCACATTCTGTAACACAAGGAGCAAGGCCTGGACTGTAGAGAAAGTGAGGAACAGTTTAATGTCCATCTCTATAAACACAAAGCTTTATTGCATACTGAGCTTCCAAATTGTCTTCACATCCTGATTGCATTCTGCAAACTCATCAGCTGTGACTAGCAGTGTTTAGTAAGGTGTGTTCAAGGAGCTGTTACAGCCATCTCCTTCAATCTGGAATAATAAAAGTTGGCAGGTCAGCTAATTAGATGTATTGTAATGATATACTAAAATTACAATAATGTAGGACAGTTATAGTTGCTTCTCCTAAAAAAAAAAAGTTCTGCAAAATAAATTGCCAGAACTGTTCCTCACAATATATTGGGGAAACGTGCAGAAATTTATAAAAATGTATTTATGAACATAAAACAGATCTTATACACAACAATTTATCAAATGCATTCATCATACATAGACATAAATTCAATCACTTTAACCTAGTAAATGCCATACTTATTAAAAAAGAAAGTAACTTACTTAGAAGGAAAATTCTCGAAAGTACCACTATCGGATCTTATCAAAATATTAATCTGCACCCCAGATTCTTCCCAATATCTCCTTTTCTGAAAGAATTACTAGCATCCCAAGGCAAGATAAATGACCACAAAAATAGCACAAAATTAAAAGAAAACAGTCAAATCCATAACTTCATGTTATTCAAAATATATAACACATAAATCAATCCCAATCCAAAATAATTTACATATATTTACATATATATATATATATATATATATATATATATATATATATATATATATATAAACATCTTACGACTTTCCTTTATTAGGCATTGAACTGTATCACCTCACATTAATGAATTTGCTTGATTTTTCTGCTAACCTGATGAATATTCATGAGCACTCCCATACCAAAAAATTTGGAAAAACAAAATAACATTTTTGCTTTCGTATATACATACTTGTCACAAAATAAGATCCTTACATTTGCCTTGATAAAGTCATTTAGAGGACGAAATATGTCTGCTAAGTTTTCCTTTTGTCTTTATTCATTAAGTTTAATGTTTTGCATTTGTAAAGTTTGTAATTAGCAATTGTTATTTTTTAAACATGTTTTATTGAAAAGTATAGGCATTTTATGTCTATTTTAAATTTTCTTCTATCTATCTGTCTATATATAAAATTCTGTAACTTCTGTTAGTCTGTATGTTACATCCTCTAAAATAGCCATACATTGACCAATCAAAACCAAATTTTGGGGAGATGTGCAAACAGGTAAGGGGATACAAAGTACAGTTGGTTTTACTATTGTATGTAACTTAGTACAATAAATTTTCATTCATTCTTTTTTTTAAGTTAAAACTTTTATCATTTAACATACAAAATTTTCCCACTATTCTTAAAATAATTTAATGATTAAAATAACAAATACTTATTTAATAAAAAGGCAATATTGTTTTTTGCATATCTTTCATTTTTTATATGTACAAGAATCCAGTTTCCAGTTCACTGAGCGTTTGTGAGAATTGAACAAATCACAAGGCCAAATACTTCAAAAAGTTGGAATTTGGCTCCAGAAAGAAATATTTACACATGGCCATTTGTATGTCACATGCTCAAGAGTAAGAAATCCTAAGAATTTATTTTTCACTCTTAAAAATGGCAAAAGAAAATTTCTTTAAAAATATTTATAGGACTTTGTTTACCATGAAGTCCTATAAAATTAAATTAAAGAAATTATTAAACTGCAAAGTAGGTTTTTGTCAAAGTATTTTTCAATACAAATCAGCTTATTCAAATTTTATCGATTGATTTGCGAAATTGAATGAAATGTAGAGTTCATAAATCTTGACAGAAAATGTTAATGATAACTTCAACAATGCTAGATACTGTGCTGATTTCAACATGCATCAGCATGTTGCAAAAAATTCTAGTTTCTAAAAAGAAAATAATTATCAATAGACCTGTTCCAAATGCCATATCCTCCAATGCATATATAAAGAAAAAAATCATCTCATGCCTGATAGCCAGTCTTTTCAACTACATACTACAATAATGTCTATGTTTTGGATTTATCTGATTCAATTTAAAGATAAATGACACTTTCAAAAGTACCACTTAAAAAAAGAATTTTTTCACTTCACTTTACTTGTACATACACCTGATGATGACTCATGTGAGTTGAAAGCTCAAGAAGAGCCCTGATTTTGAATATTTCATGCATCTGCAGCAGCTAAATTTGGGGAGGATTATTAAAACTTAGAAAAGAATGCAGTTAAATTCAATAGACATAGAATACTATACTTTTCAGTAAAATTTGTAAAGTTACACATGCACACACACACATATATATATATATATATTGTTTTCTTTTTATTTTCAGAGACTTCCTCATATTATCTACCTAATGTCTCTCCTTTCAACCCTAGTCCTGTTAATTCAGCCAGGAGAACCCAAAACATATGCTGTACCATCACAATCAACCCTAAGATCTTCTTTCGGCCAGTGAAAAATGTACCCCACCCAGTTTGTCTACACAGCTGGTAATCCTTACAATATTGATAATACACACGCCTTCTATCAGAACGAACATCTACATAGTTCCACTTCATCGTCATCTTCTGCAAAGCCCCACCACATTGGAAGCAACAATGGCACTAACAGCAGTGACCCTTCTGACAAGATTAACAAGTGTGAAATGTGTAAAAAATGTTTCCCACAGCGTGCAGCTCTTGTGAATCATTTGTGCCCAGCAGCAGTGTCCTCGGCATCTTCCAGCACGCTATCATTACCACTTGCCATACCTGCTATACCAGCTCCTTTGTCGGTTCCAGTAATTGGAGGATCTTCCTCTCAGATTTGTTCATCATCTCTTCACATCTCATCTGGCATTGATATTTCAAAGGCATTAGCCAAAGAGAAAACCTTTGTTTGTTCCTATTGCAATAAAGCTTTTGCCCAGCAGATTTTCTTGCGTAATCACGAGCGTATTCACACCGGAGTAAAACCATTCATCTGCAATACCTGTGGCAAAGCATTCACCTTGCTGGTCAATTTAAAAAGCCACCAAAGAGTTCACACAGGAGAGAAACCCTTTCACTGTAACATTTGCTCGAAATCATTCAGCCAGCAGGGCAACTTAAAGATCCACATGCGTACTCACTCTGGTGAAAAACCCTACAAGTGCAACCAGTGTGAAAAGTGCTTTACACAGAAAACCAACCTGGATAGCCACCGTCGAGTTCACACAGGGGACCTTTTCACGTGCCAGACGTGCTCAAAGTCGTTCACACTGGAGATCAATCTGCGCAACCATGAACGTGTGCACACAGGGGAGCGACCATTTGTGTGCACCTACTGCAACCGGCATTTCTCTCAGCAGAGTGCTCTTCGAAATCATGAACGCCTACACACAGGGGTGAAACCCTACCATTGCACCTACTGCACTAAGTCATTTAGCCAGCAAGGGACGTTGAAGGCACATCTGTGCTCGCACACAGGCGAGAAACGGTTTCATTGCGACCAGTGTGACCGTGCTTTCTCGCAGAGAACGAACTTAGACAGCCACAAACGCATCCACACTGGTGACCTGTTCAAGTGCACAACTTGCTCAAAGGCATTTACTCTTGAAATCAACTTGCGTAATCACGAACGAGTACATACAGGTGAGAGGCCATTTGCATGCAGTTTCTGTAGCTCCAGGTTCTCCCAGCAGAGTGCCCTTAACAATCATGAGCGCTTGCATACTGGAGTCAAACCCTACCACTGTACATTCTGTTCAAAATCCTTTAGCCAACAAGGCACACTAAAGGCCCATTTGTGCTCACACACAGGTGAAAAACGCTTCCAGTGTGACCACTGTGATCGGAGGTTCTCCCAGAAAACAAATCTTGACAGTCACAAGCGGATTCATACAGGGGACCTCTTCAAGTGTTCTACCTGCCCCAAAGCATTCACTCTTGAGATAAACTTACGAAACCATGAACGCATACACACTGGAATAAAACCATACAAGTGTACCTTCTGCCCGAAAGCATTCTGCCAACAGACAGAGCTGAAGTCACACTTACGTACGCACACTGGCGAGAAACCTTTCCATTGTAAGTACTGTCCGAAGGCTTTTAGTCAGCAAAGTAACTTAAAGATTCACGAGCGTATCCACACAGGAGAAAAACCATACCAATGCGACCAATGTCAGAAAGCTTTCAGTCAGCGTGCCAACTTGGAAAACCACCGCAGACTGCACTCCGGCGACCTCTTCAAGTGCTCATTGTGCACCAAGTCGTTCACGCAGCTGGTCAATCTGCGTACACACGAGCGCGTGCACTCTGGTGAGAAGCCGTATCGTTGCAACACCTGCGATAAAATGTTCAGCCAGCTGAGCAACTTGCATGCACATGAGCGGGTCCACACCGGTGTAAAACCTTTTTCTTGCGATATCTGTCCAAAATCGTTTGCCCAGCGAACAACCCTCATTAACCACAAACGATCACATGCCGCCAAGGCACACAATGCGTCCCTCATGCTGGGTAAACATATGTCAGCCGATGCAATGGCCATGCATCTTGGTACTGCTGGGGCTGGCAGCAACAGCAGCACTGGCAGCAGCTTGAACTGCAATATCAAAGTCCCTTTAGCGAACCCTGGAGGTCGAGGGTCTCTAGGACCAAACTCTGGGAGTAGTGAGGCTAACACGGACAACCGTGATGATATATCTGGATCTGGGTGCAAACTGAAAAATGATGAAAGTGGCGAGTGCTCATTGACTCCCTCGCAGGCACCTTCATCACATCATCCCCATCATCCCAATCCACTTCAGGTTCCCACTCCATCAGGCAGGCTCCCACTTTCAACCATGTCGTCATCATCATCTTCCCCACCAAACATACCTACAACTTCATCATGGCTGAGTTCAGCTAACCTACATGAAATGTCCCAGCGCTGGGAAAACAATTACCTATGGCCCCGGGCATTTCCCATGACTCCTATTCCAACAACAAACTGGGCCAACATGCCCAGCGTTTTCCCTTGCTCTCACGTGGGACACCCATCGCCACCCAGGAGCAATACAGGCTCCAATAAAAACAGGACCGAACATCATCACAATACAAAATAGATGCTTGCTGGCACAAGGCTATGTTTCTACAATGGTTTCCAAGGATTAAGATCTCTTTCTTTTTATGTTGAAAAAGCAATGATACAATTTTACTTTCTTTTCAGTTTTTTCAAGTAATTAATTGCTTTCTTGATATTTGATAAAATGATAATTTAAAAAAAAAATTTACATCAAATCCTTATTTATTACTCATCAAGTCTAGTCCAAGGCTACATTTTATAAAATATTAAACAGTGTTAACTGTTGGCACTAAAAAGCAAGCTTACTACCAATGTGCCTGCTAAGGAACACCATGACTTGTTAAATCATCTAAATTTACTTCCAACACAAGTGATTTATTCTCACCACTTATATAACATTACTTGACATGTATGGGGATGTGTCAGAGAGATACAATGGCTTTAAAATTTCATCACTCTCTAAGTAGAAGTTTTTGTGCATTTAGGTCTGGTGACTTGTGGAAAAATGCCTTTGAAAGTTTTAAGCTTAAAGAACTTTCATAAAAACAAAAAAATAGGACTTGCAAAAAGAATGAAAGCAGTAACATTAACAGTATATATTTATTACTATCTGCCCAAACTAACAATGGATATAGCAGCCTGATTACTACAATTGATTGGCCAAGTAATTATTAGACAGTGCACACTTGCCCACATTTTCTCTCTGGCTGCCATAGTTGTGGGTCGATGAAAACATCATTGTCAAGATAAATGTTGAGATGACAGAATGCATGGAGCATCATTGTCGATACTTAAAGGCACTTGTGTGAAAATGATGGTCACAACTGGAATTTTAATTAGGTTTAACAAGGTCATATGGATATGTGGGTAGCATAGTGATTGTTAAAACGGGAAATGAAGCTGGTGAGCCAAGTTCAAGTTTTGTCCTAGATTGTTGTGTACACTTCACACTAACGCCCTTGGGGAAAAGGCATAATTCCATTTCTCCTCCTCCCACCAGTTATGGGCTAAATAGCAGGATAGACTTGGCTCTATAGCCTTGCGTGGTAGCTAGTTTAGAAGTCATGGCAATTCATAGAGAATAAAGACAAGGATTCTGTGGAGAGTTATGATTGCCCACATCCCTTCAGGATGTAGGATTTAAAGAAAGCAAAGGAAAAAAAAATGAAGATCCTTTTCAAGATGAGTGGCATGTAGAAAGAATGCAGGATTTTTATGTTTATTTCTTTATTCTATCTCATTTTTCTTTGCATATTTTCATAATTTTTTTTTTCTTCTCTGTAAAAGGACTAATGAAGATTGTGCAGAAAAAAAATGAAATAGTCGTAAAAAAAAATAATTCTTTAGAAAATAAGCATAAATTGTCTTAAACATAGGACCCAAGTAATTTTACTTACAAATAATCGCTTCAAATCAAGAAGGCTTTTAGACACTTGGACCCCCCCCAATCAAACTAGCAAGTAGAAAAATGCATATAAGTATAAATATTTAAGTAAATGCTCTGTTTATAAGAAACAGTATTAACAACATTTATTGGCCTGAATGTTAGAAATCTAAAAGAAAATATGTCTCCTCTAACAGGAATCGAACCTGTATCCTACATGGGACCGTCATATAGCCTGATGTGCTATACCATTTAGCTACAGAGGAAGCATCTGATTAGCAAGGTTAAATTACTGTTTTTAAACCACAAACTTCCCATGATTTCTCTCGAACACTCATGTCTGCTTGAAGTGTATGTTAAATAAATAACATAATATATTATGAAATGGACTAAGTCTGACAATCATTTTAATATATTTTTTGCTTATTCGTTATTTTATAGATACAAATATATAATAAAGGCTGGTAAACGTTGTTAATACTGTTTATTATAAACAGAGCATTTACTTAAATATCTGTATCTATAAAAATAACGTGTATAAACAAAAATATGTTCAAATAATTGTTGGATTTAGTTCATTTCATAATACATATATATGTATGTATGTATGTATGTATAAGGAACTGATGGATTTAATTTTAATCTGACATTATTTCTTATTATTCTGACAGTTTATTATTAAACAGTGTGAATTACATCTACCAGCCTGTTCATCTGAGAGACTTAATAAAGAAAATTTGATCTCCAGTAAGGTTTGAAGCTGTGCCTTCTGTTTTAGGGCCCTAAAACGGTCTAAAGCATGCTAATTTGGATGGTGGTTTTTCCTACAATGAAGGACACAGTTTCAAACACAGTTGGAGAGCAAATTTTCTTTATTAAGTCCCTGAAATGCAGATGCCAAAAGACATAATTCATACTGCTTAAAGACTAGGGTGTCTACTTAAACATTGGTATCTATTGAAGTAACATTGGTGTAATAATATCTATATGTGTATATGTATGTATATAGGCACATACAAATTCCCACATATATTCTCATATATATCATAGTGGAATACTTTATATGAAGACCATCCTTGCTACTTTTCTCTTTGCTAAGAATTATTTAAAAATTATTTATTAAATCTAGGTATTAAATTTAAAGTATACAATAAACTTTATTGAGTATTTTTACCCAGTATCAGTTCTGAATTTACATCTGGGAGGAACAGGTTGCAGCCTAGGGATTCATAATCTAGGGCAGTGTTTTTCAAACTTAGGTCTTGACCCTTCAGTGGGTCGTAAGATAAATAAGATGGGTCATGACAAAAAAATTAAAAACGAAAAATAATCTGCAAGTGAGAGCAAAGTGCAGAATATAAACAACTCTAAATATTGCACAACACTTATAAATCATCACTTTTCACCAAGGTAAGCTCATATATTTTATTTTTTAAATATATATATATATATCATCCACATACAGGCCTATTTTGCTGTATCACAGCTCATCAGTGCAGCTAGACATCCGATTGCTTCAAGCTGGGACTGAAACCCAACTGACTTGGCATCAGACAGTTTCTACCCCTGAGCTATCATCACATGGGAAAGGGAAATTCTTGCGTATTATTTTTTACAAATGTAAACAAATGCCAAACAGCCATAGTGCTCAATTCATTTTCAATGAAGAGTGTTGTTAGCAGAGATGGCTGCTGTTTAGAATTACCCTATCTCTCAACAGTGCTCAACCAAAATTTTTCAAGAGCATAATAATGTCATCCATATACAGGCCTGTTTCACTATAGTCTGTTCTCATTGAGCTTATGTATCTTGTCCATCAAACTCATTGCAGACTGAGTGACATCACCTCTCTCACAAAGAGACCTTGCACCAAAATTTTAGTTACGAAGATGTACAGTGTATTCATCTTCTGGTGAAAGCCGTTAAGATTGTTGAATAATTCAGTTGCAAAAATAATAATTGTATATTCATACAAATAGATACTACAAATAGATAGATGCAATTCAAATACTTGCAGATCATAAGAAATATACATAGAAATTGTTGATGTCAAATAAATGACCCTAGTGAACAGAATTTATCTTTGATTTATTTACACATAAGTATAACAGATCGCAATGCAAAATGTAGATCTTGCTTTGGATCACACAAAAAAAAATGTTTGCAAAACACTGATCTAGGGGATCTCAGCCTCCTGTCCTCAAAAAAAAAAAAAAAATATGTAAGAATTTACTATTAATGTTTTGAATGGTAAGAATCAAGGGTTTACTTAAGTCAAAGTGATTTGCAAGCGAAAAAGCAAAATTTAGGCTGTCTCTTGTCAACTTCATTGAAAAAAAGTTGTCTTTTTTTTTTTTTGGTGGGGGGGTTACATCAAAAAGTTGTTTTAACTTTGTACAAGGGGTATGTAAAGCCTGCCCCATCTATCCCAAAAATCTGAGCCAACAACAGATTTCTTTTAGGAAGGGCTTCTTGATTAGACTGAATGTTTTAGTACTCATCTTATAGTGTAATGTTTAAAATTAGTTACGGATATTATGTGTGACAGTTTTCATTACTACTGTTAACTTATGATTGATAAATCTGTAAACATTAATGTAAAAATTTCAAAAGCATTCTATTCTTACTGTGCAGGAAGTTTTGTTTTTTCTATTGACCAGATGCTGTTAAGTTTGGGCTTCACAACCTTTTAAGCCATGGTTTCCAGCTGTTTTTATGCAACTCTGCTCAGCAGTTTTTATTTTGCAGCTGCTACTGCTACTTAGAATTTTTATACACAACATTCTTAGATACACACATTCCTAATAAGATTGAAAATAAGCAACTGCTACCAACTATTAGCATTTTTAAATAATCAAAACTATGGCATTCTATAGTATAGAACACCATGATCACAACCAGAAATTGGCATAAAAATAAACAATGATTTTAGAAAAATTTGGTAATAATTTCACTTTCACATCTATTTCATTAAAACATGATGTTCTGTACTACAGGTCTACTCATGTTGCAACTAAGGGCCCGAACTGGAAACCTATTTTAAAAGCTTGTTTAACAGGGAGTGACATCTTTTAATTTTGGTTTGGGTTTGCAGTAGTCAGCTTAAGAAATTCAAAGAAATTTTTGCTTTTAAACTTGGAATAACTTTAGCTTATTTAATTGAAGAAAGTATGATTTATTTATTTTATTTACTTCAGACTTACATTATTATATGTTTATTGCTGAAACAAATGTTTTTTCAGTTGAAGCTATAAATCAGTTCATAAAAATATATTATTGCCTAAGTTGGCTATTATAAATTTGGTATTTGAAGTATGGTATGAAGTTGGTATTTTGTTTATTTTTCTTTTAAAAAGGTACTTAACTAAAATTCAACATACATTTTTTGTTTACCTTTTAAAATAAAACAAAATAAAATCACATGTAATATTTCTATCATACAAAATTAATGAAAAAGTCATTTATTAAGAATATTGTTTAACATTTTTCATAAAACTTCTGAAATTCAAACATTTTGAAATAGGCCTCCATTTTTGAAATTACTTGAGTGGGCCTGTAGTATAAAATGCCATGCTTAAAAAAAAAAAATCAGTATCAGAAATTCTCTAATTTTCAGTTCTAGAACCATTAGTACAGAAGGTATTTCAAATATACAG